GTTGGAAGTTGTAGTTAAATCCCAAGTATGGTTAGACTCAAGTGCTTCTAACTCTGCTGCATGGCTGAAATCTACTCTACTTGAGTGCTAGCCTGCTTATAAGAAGTAGGTTCCTTGACATAAAATATGTTAGCCAAGAAAGCTATATATGAATATGATATTTTACGTTATGCTAATAAGGGTAAGTGAGTGGAGTATGTGCAGAACTCGTAGATGAAGAAGACTAATCAACTGGTTTAGTCATAGTAACATTACATGAATTAAAATGAGAAACATAAGTAGATAACCATGTAGGTGGTTTCTTAGCCTTAATACTATATCATAATGGTTGGACTATTGGACACTGAGAAAGAAGTGGAGAGGTTGAAGGATTAGAAGTATTGAATATTATGGAAGAAGAATCTGTGGGAGTCACTCTAGGAAAAGAATTTCAATATCTTAAGAGAAATCAATTGGCTTAGGTAACACAAATTTTGAAGGATTAACAGGTGAAATATTTTGGAATTTGAAAAGTTGTTTCATGGAATACAACATCTCTGGACAACAAAATTTTGTGATTATTTAAGTCATAAACTTTGTATGCTCTTTTACTTATATTATAACCAAGAAAAATGCAATAAAAAGCTATAAGGGCAATTTTATCTTTGTGAGGAAAAGTGTTAGTAGCAAAGCAAAGGGAACCAAAGATACTGAGATCATGGTAATTTGGCAACTTACCATAAAGCATTTCAAATGGCATTTTCCAATATAAAATAGACGATGATAATCTATTGATAATATGTGTTGCCATTAAGATATAACAACCCTAAAATTTTAATGGCAAGTTGGACTGAAACATCAATGATCTAGCAACATCAAGAAGGTATCTATGTTTTTTTCTCAACCACACCATTCTATTGAGGAATATAGGTACAAGAACGTTGATGAATAATATCAAACTGTTGAAACAATGAAGTGACTATATTATTGATAAACTCAGTTCCATTATCAGTCCTAACCATTTTAACACAGGTTTAAATTTGTGTTTTTATCATGAAGAAAAATTATTGAAGAAAAGAAATAGTC